CGTCCATTTAAAAAAAATCAAATTGCAACATATGCGAAAAATTATATTTTTATTATATATATGATTTATGTAATAATATAATTTTTTAAAACAAATAAGATCATATAATATTGGAGAAATATTTGATTTATTAGGGAGAGATTTTAGGAAATTTTGTTAAATGTAATAAACATTGATTTTGCAATTTTATTATGATTTACTTACAAAATTTACCTTAAATTTTTATTATTTATTCAAATTGGCAAGAGTTTAATTATGCAAATATTACAAAATAAAAGGTTACTTTCCAAAAAGTATTTCACAAATGTTAATATAGATAACCTACTAAAAGCATACGAAATATAAACTGTAGAAAATTTTGTAGAAAAAATAAAAGGAAATTATTCGCAATTTTCTTACTAAAATATCTGTAGTAAATATGTTTCTGTTATTTTCCTACCACGCAACTCTAACCATTTTCCTACAAAAAAATATAAATAATAAAATTTATTTATTTATTCTTTTACATTAATAATAATAATTTTAATTAAATAGAATATACAATTTCTTTTCCTTTACAATGAAAAAATAAATAAAAAACCTAACCCAAAAAACACCAAATGTTCCAATCAATGTTACAAAACCAAAATTACAAAACACCTAAACCAGAATATAACACATATCGCTGGTAAAGCTTTCATGATGGAGATCATGATCTTCCTTCGATTAACACTCTTCCTCCACTTCCTATTTACTTTTTTTATATGGATAAATGAATCAGATCTGGACAAAGAACAAAAATCCAACACTAATCAACAACAAGAAATGAATCAGAACTATGCAAATGAATCAACTTTACAAATGAACGAACCTTCTTTTATGTTTTCCATCTTCGGAGAGTCTACCCCAAGTCCCTTACATAAAAACAAAGCTGAGCTTTCATAGACTCATAGACAACGGTCCTAAGAAGCTAAAACAAGAAGAAAAAAAATCTTAAAGAATAGAGTCGTTTGTGACTTTACGAGAATATCGGGTAAATAAGGAATGTCTTGTAGCTTGTACCTTGAGAGTTTGAAAAGGTAGGTTCGGCTTCTTGGTACACTCGGGGACGTGTGTAGTTTTAAAAACGCAGCAGCTTTGATAGAAAAAGAGCCGTTGGAGTTTAAATGATGTTAGTGTGAATGCGTTTAAAAAAGGAAAGTAGAGGTGCAAGTGGACTCGCCTAATCCTCTGGATGCTGATGCATGGTGAGGCATCTAGTATAGTCTCTAATGGTAAAGAGGTTCTCAAGGTTTCCAAGCATAAGTTTCCAAGGAACCTAATATGTAAAGTTCCATCTTAGGTAACATATGGCCCTCGAAAAAGGCTAAACGAGTAAGTCCTCAACCAAATCTAACCATGGGTGATTTGGCTTGATCATTCAGCATGATATGGTTGATTTTCTTGTGAATAGTAAATCGGAGATGAAATAGGACGAGATGATTCTCCAAATTGCAGTTTAGCTTGCTAATGAAAGTGACCGAGACGGATCTCATGGGAATCTCTCAAACTACCTCGATGATGGAAGAATGTTTCTCGTTTGTTCCTCCTAAAACCCATATTGTCGATGGATTTTAAATCCCAACTTGAATTGCCGTGTAATTTGGTTGGTGGTTCCATACGCTTGGTATGGTTGTGAAGCATCTTGATTTGTGGTCGTTCGTATTCAATTCTGGATCGATTAATCTTCTTAAAATATGTGACTGGCTAATAATTGTTAAATTTTGTTAGGTGAAAGTCTTCACTTGGTCGATCAACTTGGATTCATCATGATCGGTATGGTACGTTGTGTTGCTTTGATGACTTTGCTCGTTCGTATTTGATTCTGACTTGATGGATCAATTTTAAATCATCATTTTGTCGATGAATATTCAATATAGGTCTAGAAAAGTTTTCTTCATTTTGGTGGAAGTGAAGAAGATCTGTCTAAATGGGTCATTCTGGACAATCTTCGATTTAGTCTGGTCAGTTGGTTTATGGTTCCTATTGAACCATTTGTTTTCTCAGGGTTGATTTTCTGATACATAATCAATCTTAAGCCTTGCGCTTGATCATAACTCCATTTTTGCTAAAATTCTTCTTATTAATCTGGTTTAGTTTGGTAGATGGTTGAACTGGCTGGTCTGGTCAACACCGAGACTTGTTCAGTTATGAAGTTCTCACTAGTTTCGGCTGATACTGCAAAGTACTTAAGTAAATATTTGAGATAATGGTCAAATTGTTGTGTTGTTCCTTTCAATAAATAAAAACTTTGTATTTACATTTTTAGTCGATATGTCTGTTTATGTTTATGTTAATACAATCTGACTGCAACGTGATTATTTAATCTTTACAGATAGTTAAAGAGTTTTTTCGTTCCAAAAAATATTTTTCTTTAAAAATTATTTTAGTATTTTTTCGTTTTTTTTATCATTTAAAAAATTTAGTGAGTATTTGATTTGCTCCAAATTAAAGGAATATGGCAACTCAATCAATATCTATTTTCAGTTTATCGTGATTCCTCTAAATAACAGCCAAAATGATCCTTGGCGTTGTCTAAGTAGAAGCACTGAATTTTTATTTGGCGACTGAACAAAAAAAAGAAACATGAGAACATTTAGTGGCCTTAATGTGGTAAAGATTTTACAAACATCTTTCGACCTTTGTCAGTGGTCACGATTACAGTCATGTTTTATGAATTTATTCCATTTATATTTGATTTTTTCACTTGTGAACAATTAAATATCCATTAAATCGACTTTTCCTTTTTCTTGTTTAGTAGTCAACATGTTGCTTTTTAAATATATTTATTGGAAATTAGGATAATAAATTAACTTCAACGGAGAATACCAGAAGCCTGGCATATTTGTAGATATATGGTTTTAAGAACATAAAAATTCATGTGTCATCTTCAGTGTTCTAAAAAGCGGTTTAGGCGCTAGGCGTTCGGCCAATGCCTAAACGACCGCTTGTACCGCCTAAAATTACATAATTTATATTTTTTTAATTTTTTTGTTAAATATAATTAAATTTTACTTTTTCTATCCATATATAATTATATATGTTCATATGTTATTGATAGAAATTAAATAAATATTTTTCTTTCATATTGTTTATGATTTATTATTTTTATTTCTCTAACATCTAATTTTACATCATTTTTATCTATAATATCATATATATATAATGTTTTATATTGTAAACGCTTAAACCGCCTAAAATCGTCTAGGCTCCAATTAAATGTTTTAGATACTAGTAGGTAACCGCCTAAATACCGTCTACCGCTTTCTTGAACATAGATCATTTCCAAAACTATATTAATTAATTTTTTATATTTAAAAATTTGTAAATAAAATGTCAGTTTATTTTACAATAAAAATATGTTAGATGTGTTGGTGAAAGAAAAACAATTTGGTTTTGTAATATTGATTCAACATTAACTATAAACAAAACAATATATACAGTATATATGATTTTGATTTGGTTTTAACTCACTCTCGTTCATTTTGTGTGTCTACTAAGTAATAAAGAGTCGTTATTTGAGAACCACAAACAAAGAATAACAACGTGAAGATCACCAAAAACAGCTGGAAGTTATGAAGACAGCCATGTGGTTGTTGCTTATCTAATTCGGTAAGCCAATGGTGCCTTCATTAATTTCAATCTATACCTAAAGTTTTTTTTATTTTCTTCATATTGTCACATTTATAACTTTATTATTTATGCAAAAATGTAGTAATACTTTGACAAAAAAAAAATGTAGTATTATATTTCATATTTGTCTTCTTTTCATATTCGCATGTGGTCTCTCTTTAATGCGTTCTAATGCTTTTCGACGAATCAACTGTCTACTATTCAAGAGTCAACTAATACACACACTAAGGTCGGTATAACACATATGAAAGATTGAAAATTTCAACTTCCAAATTTCTCAAAAATAATAAATTTTAAGTTTGTCTTTTAAACAAAATAGAAAATGTTAAGCAAAGAATATTACTTAAATCTAGATTGGATACCAATATACTTTTTTTTTTGTAAAATAAAAGCCAAAAAACTTATCCTCTTTTTGTTTTTTAATATAAGATGTTTTAGAGAAAATATTTTTTTAATATGAATTTAAAAGAATTGTTGATAAATACCCCTTTTCAAAAATACCCCCTTTATCTATCTATTTTCAAAAATATCCATGTTTAAATATGAAAAGTTATAAAATTTTATATGGTTTATAAGGTACTTCTATATAAGAACTACTACTTGTAGACTCGATACAAATATTTTTTAATGTTTTAAAAGGTTTTAAATCGTTTTTACAAGTTTTATAAGGTTTTTAAATGGTTTTTAAAAGGATTTATAAAGTTTTTAAAAGGGTTTATAAAGTTTTTAAAAGTTATTTATATGTTATATATACGCTATTTATGAAAGATATATAAACTTTTATACATTTATAAAGGTAATTTGTGTGTACATTTATAAGTCTACACACATATTTAAATAAATTTCAAAATGTTTAGTGGTTTTTTTGATAAAATTTGAAATAGGGGTATTTAAAAAGTGGTATTTGAAAAGAGGTATTTTTGAAATTCCCCCTTTATTTAATTATGTGATGTTTTCAAATTTTCATGCAAATTATGGATTAATACAATATTTCTTGGTTTGTTGAAATTTATAAAATTAGATATTTCTTAATATACATATATTTAGTTAAAACGTTTTATATTTTGTAATTAAATGAGTACATTTTTTTTCAACACATGATTTCTTTGACGGATTTGATTTGGCCACCACCACTACTCATTTTAATATTTTATACACCACAACAAATTAATAAGCATTTGATAGAATAATGGAATTTAATTAAAGAAACTATATTTTGTGTATATTCTCATATTAAAATAGAAAAATAAAAATAAGAAAGAGTAGGTGGTAGTTATAAACACGCATTAATGGCAACTAACAAAGTCCTTTAATATAGCTTTGTTTTCGCATCACAAGATTTTGATATTCACAATTCTTTAGTTTCTTCTTCTCTCAACTCAACTCAACAACAAAGCAATGTCGAACGTTGTAGTAATCACCATTGTTGTTCTCATCGCTGCATCACTAACAGGACATGTGTCAGCACAAATGATGGATATGTCTCCAACGTCAGGACCATCAGGAGCAGCACCAGACTGCATGACTAACCTAATGAACATGACGGGATGTCTCTCATACGTTACGGTCGGAGAAGGTGGAGGTGCGGCTAAGCCAGACAAGACTTGTTGTCCTGCACTAGCGGGGCTTGTGGAGAGCTCGCCACAATGCTTATGTTACCTTCTCTCTGGAGACATTGCAGCTCAGTTAGGAGTGAAGATTGATAAGGCAAAGGCTCTTAAGCTTCCTGGAGTTTGTGGTGTTGTTACTCCTGATCCTTCACTTTGTTCTTGTACGTATATGATCTCTACTTTTTATTCTACTTAATACTCTTGCATGCACATATACTTGTAACTAAGACTATGTAAGAGTTAAGACTATCTACTAATGCATATTTTAGACAGGAAAAAGGATAAATAACTTCAATTTATAAACTTTGAAATTAAGAAGGTAGTTTATATGCTTAATCTACTAGGAGAGATAGAATTTGAAGGAAAAAATTGACAAATTTTTAAAGATTTTTTTAATGGTTAAGCTTAGTTTATTTATATGTTTATGTTATGTCATTTTATTTACTATTATTTCCAAAAGTATGAAGATAAAAGGTGCATTGTATATGTTAATTGATATGCGATTTTAGGTTCATATAAATCAATAATTAGCTTTTCATTTTTGGAATTCTAGAAAATTAAATAATATGGATACCTAAATTACAAAAAGTGAGAAATGAAAAAAAAAATGAATTCTATATGTGATAACTCATTCATACCAACAAAAAGGTCTTTAGAATGAATTAAAATTTATTATATATATATATATATATATTACTAGTTTTAAAATTTATATATATATTTTTTCATTGTCTTACTAATGTTTGAATTTATTTTTTAAAAAATAGTTGAATTTTATGAAAATTAAAAATTAATAAAAAATGTGATTTTTTTTTTTTTTGGTTGGGCGAGTCATCTAACTTTACTACTCAACTACAACTACTCGCATATTTACTACTTTTGTCGGTTGTCGGAAAAGTATCACATGTTTTTCTTCTATCTGTCTCTTATTTTATTTCCCTTTCTTGATGTTAAAGTTACTAAATTAAGAATTTATAAATCATCTACTATGAGCTCAGATTCTTGCAACGTTATTAATTAACTATTGTTGCGTGTCTCAGAAGAAATGATTTGAGTAGTTCTAATTAATAATTTTCTGCTGTTAACAGTATTTGGAGTTCCTGTTGGAGCACCTGTAGCTATGGGCAACGAGGGAGCCTCCCCCTCCTCTGCTCCAGGTCCAATGTCAGGTAAACAATGATCTTACTCTTCATTTTGCTTTTAGATTGTATTGTGGTTTGGTTTGGTTTGGTTTATTCCGGATTTTGTTTATTTTAACTTGCTTCGATTCGGCTATCGGGCTATGTTTAGTTTATTTTGGTTTGTTTGGGTTCGATTCGGTTTAGTTTCATTCGATTTTTTTGGATTTGTTTATTAGTGCTTGCTTTGGTTCGGTTCCACCTAAAATTTTCAGATTTACTTATTTGGTTTGAATGGGTTCGGCTTGGTATGGTTCGTTCAATTTTTTCTGATTTATTTATTTTGGTTTCATTCGGTTTAGTTTTGTTCAAATTTTTTTGAATTTGTTTACTAGTGCTTGCTTTGGTTTGGTTCCACCTAAAATTTTCGGATTTATTTATTTGGTTTGATTGGGTTTGGCTTGGTATGGTTCGTTCAAAATTTTCTGATTTATTTATTTTGGTTTCATTCGGTTTAGAATCGCTTTAGTTCTATTCCAAATTTTTGGAATTTGTTTAATTTGGCTTGCTTTGGTTTGTTTTTTTTTTGGTCAAAAAATTTGGTTTGATTCTATTTATATATTTTCGGATATATTTATCTTGGTTTAATTCAGTTCGGTTTGAAATTTTTTCGGATTTATTTATTTTGGTTTGGTTCGGTTCGGTACTTTGTCTATTAACTAATCGAAACTGGTTAAATTTCGGATAGGTACAGCAGAATCACCAAGTGGATTAGCGTCGGGTCCTTCGGCTCCGCGAATAAGCAATGCACCAAGCATTGCAACTTATTCTCTTTTTCTCAACCTTATAATTTTCCCATTAGCTTATGCGTTTCACACCTATTGCTAATTTCATTATCTTCCTACCATTAACAACACTATTATTTCGTATTGTATTTTCTTAAGAGAGTATTGTTTCTTTTGTACGTTATGATGTTCTTGGATCTTTTTACTTTGTGTATTCACGGATTAGATTATTCTTCATTCATCATATTGAATAAAGATTCGTGTTTTCTATAACTAACTAAATCGAGAGCATAGTCATAGTAAGGAACTTGATGGCTGAGTCCAAACAAGTTGCAGTCATCTAGGATGTAATCATCATCCACTTCACATAAGAATTTGTTCTCACGAAGGTTACAGAACCAGGAAATCCATGAGCTGTCTTCTTTGTCGGAACCACTGACCTCTGATTCTTCTGATATATCTACAAAAAAAACGCAATTTATAAGAAAGATTTGCTTGAACCATGAAACAAAAGCTGAGTTTAAGGGTCATTTCACCAAAATCAGGAGTCGAATCGAACAATATGCCATTACAATAGAGCGAGTAGAGGCGATTAATTCTCACCGTCGGAAATGTTAGAATGTTGTGGCCGTTGCGGCTTTGATGATGAATCTATTAATCATCTCCTGTTTGAATGTCCACCCGCAACCCAAGTGTGGGCTGTATCATCAATACCCTGTGGTCCGGGGATATTCCCGAGTAATTCTTTATACAGCAATTTCGACTATTTGTTCTGGAGAGCGAAGCATCTGGGAGTTCCTAAAGATCAAATTGAGAAGTTCCCTTGGATCCTATGGTACATATGGAAAGCAAGAAATGAAAAGGTTTTCGAAGGAAAGGATATATCTCCAAGCACAAATAGCAGATGCAGAAGCCATTAGTTGGAGGTTAGCACAAACGCTAGAGGAAGTGGTGGAAACAGACTTTGAGCCTTTGCCGGAACAGCCCCAACAGAACCAGGTGATTGAATCCGGTCGTTGTCAATTGGACGCTTCATGGCTGAGCGAGGATAGTTTCTCGGGTTTGGGTTTTGCCTTGGATGCAAGGAACACGAGATTGCTAGGATCGAAATGTACTACTTGTTTACTATCTCTCCTTCAGGCGGAACTCACAGCTTTGCTTTGGGCAATGGAAACAATTCTCTCACTTGGACATACCTCCATCAGGTTTGAAATGGACTGCTCAACATTGCTAAAGGTGACTGATGAGGAAGAAGATTCGCCACTATTTGCAACTGAATTAGAACATTTTAAAAGTCTTCAAGCATCTTTTGTGGATTTTTCCATTCTTTGTATCCCCGTAGTAAGAATGTCCGTGCTGATGCCCTTGCAAAAGGTGCTAGAGTACGAGGTTATAAGTTTTCCCATGTAAGTTCGTTGGTTCCGGAGTGGCTGCCTTACGAGGCTAACCTATTCGAACAGGTTTAATAAAGTATGGTGCTTTTGATGTCAAAAAAGAAAAAAAAAAAAAAGGAAAGATCCATATTCATACCGAAATCATCATAATTACAACTATCATTGTAATTGGAATTATCATCTTTCTTGGACGACATGGAAAAAACACATCATGCCTTTGCCCTTCTTGTTCTTGCCGTATAATGTGTAAATCTGATCATAAGAAGAGACTTATTATGTGAAGATGCAGAGGCAAAACGGTATCCATTGATGATGGTACCAGCCAAGAAGGTAGTGCCAAGGGAGCATAAAGAAGATTCCATGGCCTGAACTGAATAGAAGAACTATATGACAAGAGTAGAGAAATTAGCATAGGCTATATAACTCTCAAAGCCAACAAGAAAAAAAATAGAGAAAGCTAGCAGATCAGAGAAGAGAAGAGGGATTTTAAACCTAGACCTAAATCTATAAAACTTTAGCAATAAGATTTCCAAAAATACATCATAAATCTAAAAGTCTTATGAATATCATAAATTAATAATTATAAATCTTTTATAAACATAGGCAAAAATACATTTTTTTGGTCAGATATATATATTATTCTTTTTTTTTTTTCTTGAATTTGCATCCTTGTTAGACCTAGTCTCTAACCATTCTCACTACATCAAAAACTTTTGGTTTTTGCCTTCTCATGTTGCATCCAAAAGAATCCAAAATTTTTAAAGAATCTTAATTTTAATCTCCTTTTACGTGTAATTGGTGCTAAAGGTTTTGTATCTTCTTCAACGCCCACCATTATAGATAGTAGCCATAATAATTATCTATATTACCTAAAAAATAAATAAAATAAAAATAAATATATTTGTATCTGAATATATACTTTCTCTATTTTTAATGTAGGGTCAATTCTTTACAAAGGTTTTCTCTTTTTTCTTTTGTTTAGGTTTTCACTAGGGTATAAATAATTATAGATATATATATATATTGAAGAATCTTCACACAGACAATTCATAACAAAGCTATGAAGGAAGAAGGCACTCTAGTCCGAGCACATGACCTAAAACCCTCACCGTCCGACATGTACATGCTTTACTTCAAGGGTTTGGTAAGCAAAGCCGAAACCGCAGAGTTATTGGCGGGATTTGCTATAGCGATTTTGGACCAAGACGAGAATCTCTTGTTTCAGATGAAGGGACCTCTTCATGGCTCGGACGTCATTACAGATTTGGAGGCTGAGCTTATGGCATTGAAGCTCGGTTTAACCCGAGCCGTGAGTATGGGAATAACTCATCTCTCAATCTGTTGTAATCATGATGAAATTTTCGAATTGGTAAGTGTTTCCTTGGCTGATAAGTTACACTGATGATTAAATTACATTATTTGATTCTTGTTTTTAATACATATAGGTCATGGGAAGATCTGCACCAGCCTTGTTAATGGATGATGTGCAACGCATCAGACAACAACTTACATCTACCATACCTGTTTTGGTGACTGACCAGAATCACCAAGCCAGTTTTGTTACTAAACTTGCAATGGAAGCAATAGATTCTGAAATCACCATACGTATGTCGTCTATGACTTGCAGCATCTGTCTCAATAATAATTTCAAAGCTGAGGATATATTAATTTCAAGTCTTTTATGCGGTCATCGGTTCTGCAAGGAATGTGTGAAACGATATATAGAAGTTAAGCTACTCCAAGGAGGTGTACCGCGATGTCCTTATTATCAATGCGAGTCTACGCTAACTCTTAGTAGTTGTGCAAGTCTTTTGATCACACCAAGACTACAAGAGATGTGGGAAGAAAGGATCAAAGAGGAATCAATCCCTATGGCGGATAGAGTTTACTGTCCGAACACTAACTGCTCGAGTTTAATGTCGAAAACCGAGCTTTCTAAATATACCATTCAAGGTTGGTGTTGTTGTGTCAAATGTACTATACCTTTTTGCATCAACTGCAAAGTCCCGTGGCACGATAACATGTCATGCAACGATTACAAGAGATTAATGGGTACGAATCTTACAACAGAAGATAGAAAACTAAATCTTCTAGCAAATAGATTGATGTGGCGTCAATGTGAAAAGTGCAAACACATGATCGAACGTTCGGAAGGATGCATCCATGTAACTTGCAGGTTTCACCACCATATCCTAAATCACTTTAACTAATATATACATATAATAATTTTCGAAATCTGATTATGTTTTTTGTAATATGGTTTGATATGTATAGATGTGGATACTCGTTTTGTTACACATGTGGAGCTGAATGGACAAAGGAGAAAGGTTGCTGTCATAAAGAAGAGATGGATGCAAACTTACATTGCATAGGTGTAATAGTTGTTAGTATCATTGTAATTGTTTTCCTTGTAATTGCCAGTATAATTATTTTTCTCATTGTGCATTATGTACATCGATAAAAAATAAAATAACTGGTTTTGTAGATGTGATTGGTATTTGAACTATAATTGTGATAGGGGATGGATATACTATTAGCATGGTTACTATTTACAAAATGTTTAAATGGGAATAAGAAAATTGAGCTGAGGTTTCAGAAGCAATAGACAAAATCTCACATTCGTTAATGAATCAAAGACGAGATACGAGCCTTTTGGATATAAAGATATAAAAGTCAGAATCGTTACTGTGTTGTGGCCGAACTAACACCTGATCACAATGTAGAGCAATCTTCTCGGACACAAGTCCGAGACAAGTCATCGAGATCGAGGTCCACAAACAACACAAGCACAATGACCTCGAACCTTAAAGAATCCCTTCACATGGTCTTCGCAAGAACAACGTCTACAGCTCGAGTTTAATGGAACTGGTAGTGCCAAAGAAGCGATTAGTTATGTATACATGAGTTATGTATACAAACATCATAACCGTTTATTTTCGGTGCTTTCTTTACCAGAATCCGGTGTTGACCAACATTAATATAGGTATTTTGAAAAATAACTGAAATTAATAAACTACTACATAATTTTACAAAACAATTTAACAATCTTTTGTCAACATCGGTCAACGCCGGATTATGGCAAAGAAAACATCGGAAATAGATACTAGATGGTTATGGTATTTTTTTTTTTTTTTTAAATTTTATTTTATTTTATTTAGTTAGTTATGGTATTTTACACATAACTCATGTTTGTTTATGCATGTCCTTATGTGATGACAATATTTCATATTGTTTGCATGTATGCCCATGTGTTGGCCTATATTTTGTTTAGCTGACGATCATTTTTCAAAAGAGAAGCTGTGCTCCGCTAGTTTTTTCGTTGGAAAGGTTTAAAATTGTAGTTATCCAGATTCTGAGCCACCACCACCACTAATCAGAAAGGAGAGAAGACCTTAGGATAAGTTGCTAAATCAAAGGGGACTAGAGGATCAACCCGTTAAGTAGAATTCCAAAGAAAGACTGTTGACAGCTAATGGAGATCACATTTCTTTGGCCCCCGTCAAATCAAAATGAAATGCGAGCTGGTTTAAGCTCGGTAGAGGGTTCGAGAATAGGGTCCTGCCCTTCAGATTCACTATCCTTGTATGTTTTTGTTTGTTAATCAAAGTAGTTTCATATCTTCAGGATTGTTTTTTCAGTTGTAACTGTTTTGGATTCTTTAAACTTTAGGAACTTGATGGCAAGTGAATAGACTTAAACATCAAATCAACTTTATTAGTATTTGGTATGGTTTATTGCTGATATGAAGTTGTTAACACTCATGTGAGCTTCTTGTTTTCTTAACACTTTTCTCCTTTACTACAATCTAAGTTCTTTTGTAAGATACTAAATTGGTTTTCACTATCAGAAACTTAAGCAGGAATCCGAAGCTCAATCGCATAATTCCACAATCTCATCAGCAAAGGATAGAAAGCAAATCTTTAACACTATTGTTATAATAACTCTTTCCAAGTAATGAATAAACATATCAGATTCCTTGTAACAATCTCTCTATGTCATGTAGTGTGACTAATATGATTGCAGCATATTGTTTTGCTCCCCTCCTTGTTTGTTTACACATTGTAAGTTCTGTTTTAATTACTCTGTTTTAATATTTCAAAGATTTTTCTA